CTTCTGTGTTCTGAGATGATAAAACACTTTGATGTGTCATGATTAACTTGACTGTAATAAGATTATTACTTTCCAAACTACAAGCAGTGTGGTCTTCTAAATGTTACACTGCCTTCGTCTACAGTAGTTGGATTGTTATTGATCAGAACGTGTTGAGATGCATGAGGAAGCTGAATGTCCACTGCCTCCTGAAGTTGAATAAAAAATATGACCCCATTTCAAGGACTCCTGCTGAAGTTCATGCTGAATTAAACTCCTGCTACAACTCACTCACTTAAAGGGCCCATATCCTACGTTTTTCTTATATATTACTATATTATATTTATGTTCTCCCTGAGGTCCCCTATATACCAAAACAGTCATAATTCACGTTTACATGACCATTTCCAACCTCTTTATATCCATCAGAATTGAACAGGCTGTTTTCATGACATCACAAAAACGGTGGAATGAAAAAGAGGCTGTTATTTGTTGATAAATTTACATACATACACCGATCAGGCATAACATTCTGACCACCTCCTTGTTTCTACACTCATTGTCCATTTTATCAGCTCCACTTACTATATAGGTGCACTTTGTAGTTCTACAATGTGTTAGTGTGTGTTGTGCTAGTCTGAGTGGATCAGACACAGCAGTGCTGCTGGAGTTTTTAAACACCTCAGTGTCGCTGCTGGACTGAGAATAGTCCACCAACCAAAAACATCCAGCCAACAGCGTCCTGTGAGCACTGACGAAGGACTAGAGAATGACCAACACAAACTGTGCAGCAGCAGATGAGCTATCGTCTCTGACTTTACATCTACAAGGTGGATTGACAAGGCAGGAGTGTCTAATAGAGTGGACAGTGAGTGGACACAGTGACCACCACCACGTCAGTGTTACTGCAGTGCTGAGAATGATCCACCACCCAAATAGTACCTGCTCTGTGAGGGTCCATGGGGGTCCTGACCACTGAAGAACAGGGTAAAAGGGGGCTAACAAAGTATGCAGAGAAACAGATGGACTACAGTCTGTAACTGTAGAACTACAAAGTGCACCTATATAGTAAGTGGAGCTGATAAAATGGACAATGAGCGTAGAAACAAGGAGGTGGTCAGAATGTTATGCCTGATCGGTGTGTATTGCACTGTCTATGGATTTTTTGGTATGTTTTAAAACTTTAACAGTGTTTATGTACTACTAAGTCTGTTTAAGATTACTGAATCTATTTGCGACACAGTTTAAAGCAAACGAGTGATGATAAACTAAATGGCGGAGTATTGGCTTCCATTACTTGTTGGCAGTGGTGGACAGTAACTAAGTAAATGTAATTTGTTTCTGTACTTCAGTAGTTTTTTCCTGTATCTGTACTTTACTGACGTTTTTCTATTTTGGGTGACTTTTTACTTTCACTCCACTCCAGAAAGTCAAATATCTCACTTTTTACTCCACTACATTGTGAGAAATCTGTCGCTCCTTTTGGCTTCTGTGTGTATAAAAACGTAACATGTCAAAACGAAAGAAGTGCAAAGCAAGAACACCAATCAGGGCACAGCGGTCACTTTGTTTAGAGCTTGTTTTGACCTGTTGGACTGACCGACCCAGTGCAGCTCACGGTTCAACATCAGTGCAGCAGAGTAAAATTTTGGGAGAGTCTATTCAACATAAATGATGAACTAACCTAACTTTGTGTAAATAGACCACAATATAGAAATATGTACTCATATGCAGTTGTGACTGACGTGTCTTTATTCTGAATTTATACAAACACTTTCATTTTATAGTAAATTAGTTTTGGCTGGTTTATGTTTATGAACAGAGACCTACAGATGCAGTTTAGTAAAGGAAACTCATTTGTGAATCTCAGTTTAAAGTTTTTATTAAACTTAAACTTGTAACTAAGTTCAAATAAATCTTAAACTGAAACTTTGCTTGTTTGTAAAAAGTGATTTCAGAGCCACTCAGTTCTACCTGATGGAAACTTTGTCTTCAGTGTTTTGTGATTATGATAATTTTAATAGACATCAGCGTCACTAATTAATGACTCTATTAAAAGGCTGGTTTACCAAGAGAGACACTGGAGTATTTTCACCTAAAATGAGTTAATAAAGCAGAGTCTTGTTATAAAAATGATAATAGGACATTAAAGTCATAATTAATCTTTTAGTACTTTCACTTTTGATACTTAAGTACATTTGAAGGGAAATACTTTTGTACTTCTACTCAAGTGGAGGTCTAAAGGGAGGAACTTCTACTTTTACTGCAGTAATATTTTACCTTGGATCTCTCTACTTTAACTCAAGTACATGGTTTGTGTACTTCGTCCACAGCTGCTTGTCAGCTACCCTTGTTGGCTCAGGTGCTAAAACTAAATAAGCAAACTTCAGACACCAAACATGGCTGACGTACTACATTGAGTGTAAGGTAAAAGAGGAACTGCAAAAACCTTTTTTTGGCCATTTTTCCTGTCACTGTCCACTTGAACATACTTAGCAATTCATGAATAAATGAATAATCCTTTTCTGTGTTTGCTAAAAAATAGGCATTATCTAAGAGTCCCTCCTGCCTCTGTTATATTCACTGAGTACAAAGGTTCACCCCCACCCAGGGTGTGACGTCTAAAATAAAGAAAGAAAGGTAAACAGGAGAGGTGCCAAACGCAGCCGTGTGATCTAAACCGGCGGTTCCAGCTGCAGGCTTTGTGGTCCACCTGCTCTGCTCAGGTTCATGGAGCTGAATTAGGTGTGTTAGAGCAGGAAAAGCAGAGCAGGCGGACACTGAAGCTAAAAATGAGTACAGCACTTTGAGGGGAGACCAGTTACGGTAGCCTTTTTTAGTGCTCCAAGCCAAACTGTCAAAACACATTCACTTCATGGGCCTTAAAGGGGAACTCCACCTATTTTTCAAAATATTTCCCTAACAAGATTGTTGAGAGGATTGCTGTGAGGCGACGGTGCTACCCACCACGCCAGCAATGCTGCTATCAGCAAGTTTATTAATCATGGACACACATAACGTGACATTGTATTCGGTTAATGTCAAATATGCATTCTGTTCTATTACTTTATGTTGTTGTCGTGGTTGTGTTCACATCCACTGTGTTTGCTTTGTTTGTGGGCTTTTCATGTCAAATATTAAAGAAAAGTTCAATCCTGTTGGTCCAGGACATTCAGCTTTAGCTTTATGATAGAATCCATTTCTAATAATTCTAATAATTCTAATAATTGAACAATCAAAATGGATGAATTGCGCCATATAGCAAAACAGTCAAATGCATACTGCTATAAGATATACTTCTTAACTGGTATTACTCATTGATTTATCCTTAATTCTCTAACTGTAATATTATTCAGGCCAGTACTTTCAAAAGTAACATCAGTTGTTTAAATATTCTTCAGAAGTGCTTTGTTAAAATGGTCAGTTCAGCCAGTTATTGTGTAACAGGGGTGTCAGGTTCAAGTTAAAGGGCCATAATAGAAAATAATAGAGTCTCATAATAGAATCTCCACAAATCTGTGGGCCAAAAAAATGTTTTAATTTCCTTTGACCAGGGTGTATTTTGGTTTGTCCATCTGAATTTAAATGACCAAATCATAAGGCAAATTATTCAGTAACTGCATGAAATAATAATTTTTATTTTATTTATTTATTAATTTTTTTAAAAGCTCCCCTCAGATTAACAGAACATGTGTTTTATGATCATACTCATATTGCTATATGCTTACAATTTACTGCTGAAAGCCAAAAATCTTAGACGGTCTTTGTATTATTTTATAAAAATAATTTTTACAGAGCAGATCACTGAAGAGACGCCATCTGTTTACAGTTTACAGCCCAGATTTGTGGAAAAATTGGTCGACTTTCAGTAGACAAAAAAAACTGTGAGTTCAGCTTCTTTTATTATAAGGGTTTAAAATTACATCACCCGTCTATTTGACTGGTAAAATAAAATAAAAAATAAACAAGAGACTTTTGACGAATTTGTCATCGCCAGGCCCGTCAACGAGCTGTGCGTAAACTGACGTCATCACGCTCTGGTCGAATCCCAGGCGACGCACGTCATCACGCTGATCTGTAAACCAAGTGGACGGAGGTTCGCCGCGTATGGTGCACAGGTACGGATTTTTACAGATCGGCGGTTTGTTTCTGTTATTTTATTACGGATCTCCTCGCTTCACGTCGCTGCGTCGCTCCGTCCGGATCACCGGGAGCAGCTGATCAGGCCGCGGACGGACGGGTAAAAGCCTCGAGATGGCGCGGCGCCTCCCGTAGGGATTAAACGGGATTAAAAACAAGCTTTTTGTGTTCGTTGTGTTTTTTTAGCCGATATGTCCACCGAGGATTTGTCCACCTCGGACAGCGAGGCTCCGGGGGCCGCAGCCGGGGAGCGCTGGGCGCCGGTGGGAGCCGTGGCGAGCCCGGAGGAGGAGGAGTGGAGCTCGGGGAGAGTCGGGACGGAGCCGCCGGAGTCCGCGGAGCTCGAGCCCGGCTCTCCGGCCTCCAAGCTGCGGCGGCTGGAGGAGGAGCGCGAGCAGCTGCGTGCGGCGCTGCTGGCCGTCAGCTCGCACTTCGCGCAGGTGCAGTTCCGCCTGCAGCAGGTGGCGCGCGCGCCGGGCGACGAGCGGGAGCGCACGCGAATGCTCCAGGAGCTCGAGGAGTTCGCCTTCCGCGGATGCCCGCACGTGCTGGGGCTCAGAGGGCACGAGAACCCGGTGAGGATCAGAAGGGGGATGAATGGTGGTGTTTATATCGCTGAAGCTGTTGTTGTTGTTGTTGTTGTTTATGTTGCTGAAGTTGTTCAAGTTGTTTATGCTGTTGAAATTGTTGCTGCTGCTGATGTTGATGTTGATAATGTTGTTGTTGTTGTTGTTAATAGTAGTATTATGTTGATGTAACGTCATTAAACAATACAGCATACATAAACAACGCCAGCACATCATCAGCGTGTTCTATTTGTTGTTGTTGTTGTTGTTGTTGTACTAGTTGTTGTAGTAGTAGTAGTAGTTGTTGTTGTAGTAGTTGTTGTAGTAGTAGTAGTTGTAGTAGTAGTAGTCGTAGTTGTTGTTGTTGTTATTGTTGTTGTAGTAGTTGTTGTAGTAGTAGTAGTTGTAGTAGTCGTAGTTGTTGTTGTTGTTATTGTTGTTATTGTTGTTGTAGTAGTTGTTGTAGTAGTAGTAGTCGTAGTTGTTGTTGTTGTTGTTGTTGTTGTACTAGTTGTTGTAGTAGTTGTTGTAGTAGTTGTTGTAGTAATAGTAGTAGTTGTTGTTGTAGTAATAGTAGTAGTAGTTGTAGTAGTAGTAGTCGTAGTTGTTGTTGTTGTTGTTGTTGTTGTTGTTGTACTAGTTGTTGTAGTAGTTGTTGTAGTAGTTGTTGTAGTAATAGTAGTAGTAGTTGTTGTAGTAATAGTAGTAGTTGTTGTTGTAGTAATAGTAGTAGTAGTAGTAGTTGTAGTAGTAGTAGTCGTAGTTGTTGTTGTTGTTGTACTAGTTGTTGTAGTAGTAGTAGTAGTTGTAGTAGTAGTAGTCGTAGTTGTTGTTGTTGTAGTAGTTGTTGTTGTAGTAATAGTAGTAGTTGTTGTTGTAGTAATAGTAGTAGTTGTTGTTGTAGTAATAGTAGTAGTAGTGGTAGTAGTTGTTGTTGTTGTTGTTGTTGTTATTGTTAATAGTAGTATTATGTTGACGTAACATCATTAAACCAATACAGCATACATAAACAACACCAGCACATCATCATCATGTTCTAGTTGTGTTGAGGTCTAGGTCTGTCTCAAAAAGTAATAAGATTGCTTAAGAAGCATAAGAAATGCAGTGGATTTTGTATGGGAACGCAAGACTTTTGTGAGGGAATACAAACATTTTGCAAAGTAACTCAGTTCTGTTGCAAATGTTATTTTTTAGGGACTCTGTAACAGTTGAAACTCTGTATGGTGCAGCAAAAAGTTTGTGGAGTTCATTTTTCTTTTTTTTGGGGGGGCATTTTTTTGCCTGTTGGTGTCAACGTGTCATCAAAGAAAAACGAATATCTCCAAAATTGTAACTTTACGGGAGAGGTCAAAAACATTCTTTACTTTCAGTGTAAGTTAATGGAAAGAGACGAGGAGTTTTTGGAGTGTTTTTTTTAACAGCAGTAATATGTTTTTCTCCGATATTTATCATTTTTTTCACTTTTTTAATTACAAAAAATGAGTCTGTATTACTTTTAACTGCTGAATCTCTTTGCCTTAATGCTTTCCTTGTAAACATGCAAACCGAAACAACTAATGTTATATGGCACAGTTAATAATAATAAGTTACAATAATTAGCATTAAAATACAACAGTGTACAGATTGTACATTGGAGAAGTTGCGGAAAAAACAACATCATTAAGCAACAACATTATTACAGACATATTCTCACATATCACTGTTTGTATTAATGAGAATTTGGTTACTTCATTTGGAAAATGTTACTAAAAAACTACTTAAAATCAGTCGTGTGCTGGACACATTGTCCGATAGATGGCAGCTCCACCTCGCAACTTACAGGACGTAAAGGATCTGCTGCGAACATCTTGGTACCAGATACCACAAGGGATGTTCAGAGCTCTTGTGGAGTCCATGTGGGGACCAGTAGCAAATTAGGCGGATGTTATAATGTTTGGGCTCATCGGTGCATCAGAGATAAGACATTTGACTGAATCTTTGCGTGGTTAGGTGGTTCTTATCTATGCTGGAGAGTCGTATCTTTGTAAGGGTGAGTAAATTTGTAGTTTAGATGCTGTCAGCACTAAAAAATCACAGTATTAACAACTATCAGGAAATGAAAGACTCTGTTCGGATGCTCTTTCTCTGATCAAAGCGTTTCTAGAGAACATTATCAGCACCGATCTGGACCAAACAGCACAAAAGAGGCTGTTGTTTACTGTTTGTAGGAAGGGCTGCTTCTGAACATTTGGGAGACTCTAAATAACATCCTATTTGGTGGTCCCCACCCACCCCAGTTGTATTATTTCTATTCAAGAATGAAATAGAATTAATACTTAATTTATTTTCATATGAAATAGAACCTGTAAACAACTAAATTGCTTAGAATATCTGTACATAATTTTGTTTTTCCTTATTTATTGGAGCCCAAACCATCATAAGATCCTGATTGAGACATTACTTGATACCCCTGAAGTCCTTTTTCAGGCTCATAAACAGCGTTTTGTACACTTGTGGCAGGAAACGGCTCTATTTGTAGGGTTTTTTGACTCCTACAAGGAGTTTCCCAAACCGCCTTCATTACAGTGTCCATCAGTTTTAATGTTTGTCTCCCATGTAGCTCGAAATCTGATTGTTTACTGGCAGCTTGATTTGAAGATGTTCTTTTTTGTCCTTTTTTCTCACATGCTTTGCTTGTAGGAGGAGCTGGTGAGTATAAATACCGAGATCTACATGCTTTTCCGTGTGCAAAAGAAATTATGTTTGAAAATGTATGAAAACGTACTTTACACACATGTACTTTAGTGTGTGAAACATACTTTGGACTGAAACAGTGTATTGAAATGCATTTCACATAAAAAAAAAGCATGCCCATGTATTTTTTTCCCCCCATATGGATTCACTATTTGGGTCATTCGCCATTTGGAGTGGGAATCCAGGTGGATACATTAAAAAAAATCAGCTTCTTTCATCCCAAAGCTAAACAAGCTCAATATGTCCATTAATAGAGCTGAAAATACTTAATATAAGTATTTAAGTATATAAGTATACTTATAATATAAGTATAAATTTAATATCCTGATAACACCAGTGACCAAAATCTCTGTGACAAATTTATTTTTAAATAAAATACATATGTTTTTAAATGTAGTTTAACGTTAATGATATAAAAAGAAGACATGAATCTGTTTTATACAAATTCCTAAGTTAAACCTCTTAAAAATATTGTTTTATATTAAAAATGGTTGAAAATTGGTTTTGTGATGAGCTGTTTTACAGACGCAGAGCGACTAATAAACAGGATAAATAATGAAAAATCAGAGAATCAGAAGGGAAAAGTGTTATTTAATCTCAGGTCAACTGTGTAAATGTACATACTGACTTTTGGAGCTGTGCCTCATATTTTAAGCATCTTTTTAAGCCCTGCAGCCTTTGTGACACGGTTTCCCCTCCAAATGGAGAATGACCCATTCGCCCCATTTTGAATACCAGTTTTAACCTACCCTCATCTGACCTCCCCCAAGGGAATCCCTGATGTCATGCCTTTCCATCACTGTATTAGCACAAGGGAAGTGTATTAGATGAGCCATTGAAGGGGCAAAAGTAGGGGCCAAGGTAGTGCGGGTCCTCGGTAGGACAGCAGCACTGCTGTGTCTGATCCACTCGTACCAGCACAACACACACTAACACACCACCACCACGTCAGTGTTACTGCAGTGCTAAGAATGACCCACCACCCAAGTAGTACCTGCTCTGTGAGGGTCCATGGGGGTCCTGACCACTGAAGAACAGGGTAAAAGGGGGCTAACAAAGTATGCAGAGAAACAGATGGACTACAGTCTGTAACTGTAGAACTACAAAGTGCACCTATATAGTAAGTGGAGCTGATAAAATGGACAATGAGTGTAGAAACAAGGAGGTGGTCAGAATGTTATGCCTGATCAGTGTATAATTTCAATGGATTATGATACACTTATGTTCCCTGACTAAAGTACTGAGATGAACCCTTGACCCTATTGACAAGAGGGTCCCTTTAACAGAAGTATGTAGGCCTTATGTTGGAAGAATAAGCACATCTGAGTTGGTTAAACACATGAACCTCATTAATGACGACTACAAAAACAACAGAAAATGCAAAAGTATTTTATTTTTTGTATGTAGGGTTAAAAATAAATTCCAGTGCTGTGTTTTAAATGTGCAAATGACCACCATTCAACACGCCTCCTTTCTCACTGTGTTTGTATGCGTGTGTACAGAGTGAGAGGGAGAAGCGTGAGCGTTTGGAGGCTCAGAGGGAGAAGCAGAAGGAGCTGATCTTTCAGCTGAAGACGCAGCTGGATGACCTGGAGCGCTTCGCCTATCAGGAGGGCAGCTATGACTCACTGCCACAGTCTGTTGTCATGGAGAGGCAAAGGGTACTCGTCATCCCATAATATCACAGCGTACTCACGACTGAAGCTGTTTATCCATCAGATCTGATACCTTCAGGATGGAGAGGAGGGATAAAAATGTACAGATCTGTTCTGTCTGAATCGTTATGCACATTATACTGTGACTCATTTCACGCTGGGTTGGTTTACATTGGGTTCCTACAGTGAAACTAAGAGAACAAAGCAGATTAATTGCTTTAATTATCCACTATCAGCAGCCACGTTTACATACAGCCTGATAATCCGTTAATAATCCGACTGCCAGCTCAATCGGAATAGAATATGTCCATGTAAACACCTCAATTGGAATAGTCTAGTCTGATTGAGGCCATTCAGAATACAGTTTCTATCCGACTGATCGAGGTGAGTAATCCTGTAAATAATCCGTTAAATAGAAGAATAATATCCGTGTAAACGCCTGTATCTGATTACATTCCCTATCGGAAAGTTTAAGTCCGTTCTGATCATGTTCGTCGCGTCATAGTGAAAGTTTATACCGTTCAACATGGCGGAGCAGAAACTGGTCTGCAGAGGAGACGAAGTTTATGCTCTGATCTTTAAAAGACGGCGGTGGGACGGACGTCCAGCTTATGTGTCTCAGAACACGACGTCTTCCTCTCGGCCTTCTTTAATAAGGACATGTGAAGGACATTTTCCTGAGTCTGACATCATTTTAAAGCCATTAAAAACACAAGCACTGCTCACTGCTGCTCATCTCACTCTGACTGGACTCACGTGATGCTCGTCGTCATGGTAACGTCTACACTAAGTCGTAATTGTGGATCTGATTACTTGTAGCGAGCATGTAAACAGAGATTTTCATCAGATTGTTGAGTAGAGTGAGAATATAAACACCTCAGTCTTCATCTATAATCAGAATGTGTTCAGTCAGATTGGCAAAAATCTTTGCATGTAAACACAGACAGTGACCCTTTTCTCTGAAAGCACTACCTTCTCAAAGGAGTAGTTTGGGGGAAACAGGTGTTCCCAGTGTCCCTCCTTACTCCAAATGTAGTCAGCTGGGACATGATTGGTGTCTTTAGTTTGGCACTGGTGCTGTGAGGCTAATGTAGCTGTCAAGTATTGGAAGCTTATATCCTACGAATTAGCTTGGTGTTAAATTCATGTCTAAATCATCACATACTACATACTACACACCTCAAACCGGATCAAACTCTCTATACAGAGACTGCAGCTTTGGTCGGTCATTTTTCAGATTTTCGCTTAAACTGCTTGTGTGTCTTCGCTTTAAACGTAATGTCTGAAATCTGTTAATCTCAGCATGTTTAGGCAGTTTGTGGCCAATTGCAGCTAATAATATTGTCCAAAAGTCAGTAACCTTAATAAAGCGTAGCTCCGCCCACACCCAGCAGATGTCTGAGATGTCATCTCACATCTCCGAAAACCTTGTTTCATCTGGAGTTGAACTAGAATGTGGAAAAATGTGTCGATTCCTGTTGTGCTAACGACAACATTCACACCAGCGGTGCAGCTCTGAGGCCGATTCTTAAAACCGTTTCTCTCAAAATTAGTTTTTCTCCACGTTCAGAACAAAAAAAATCTAATTTTTATGAATGATTACCTGCATTCATTACATGTTACAGGTTCATTCCTAACCCTGTTCGTATGGATATTAGATAAGGATTTCTCAATATCCTGTTAATAACTAGATTTATGCTAAATTATATGCAGTAAAATGATCTGTAGACATTTTAACAGTGCACACTAAAACAGTGAGATTCCAGCAGTCTGTTCTGTAAAACCGTCTTTCTTGAGTGTCTTTATATTGAATAAGCATTTTATTCTAACATCATCAAAAGGCCAGAGTTTTGTTTGTTTGTTTTTTTTTTAGTTGACGCATTTTTAATGACGTAATGTCTCATCTCCACGTGATCTTTGAGAAAACGAAAACAGATGCAAAAAAGCTTGTAAGAATAAAAGTAATGAACTAGCAAAGATTCACTGTGATCTGTTTTAAAAATGACCAGTGTCTCACCTTAAAGGGAAATTCCACCGATTTTTCAACATTTCTGTGTAATTCAGTGAGTGAGGTGTAAACAGAGTGATTCAGAGTGGTTTGGTGTGAAATGGCTCAGATTTCTTTACAGTGGTGGTGATAGGAACCGGGGGTCGCCATGACTACAACACAAATATAGACATTTTATTTAACCTCCACGTGTCTTCAGAGCTTTTATATGTAACGTTGATGATGTAAAATAGTGATAAATCTGAAAATATAAGTCTTCTTTGGGGACTATTTTGCCTCACAAAGCCCCTCCACTGTGCATCAAGAACTTTTAGGTCAATCACTTTTTGGAAAACTATCATAAAACAGTGTCAGGCAGTGAATTCATAACCATTTCATGTTGTAACTTTCTGTGAGGGAGCTTTTAGAGGTGGACGTCTGGTTCCTATCACCACCACTGTGAACAGTTCTGACTCTGTAAGTTTCTCTAGAACAGAGCGTTTCACACCAAACCACTCTGAACGACTTTCCCTACATCCATTTATCAGTGCAGCTTGCTTATGTGGTTTGTAAAGGTTTGACATACTATTATCTATAAAATTATATATCGCTGCTGTCAGAACAAAACCTCATATCTTTTAATGTAAGTCAATGGAACCAGAATTATTTTTTTTTTTTTGTTCATTTCATCATAAAACTTACACACAATATAAAGGACAACAGGAGTTTTCAAATTATGCCAAAAATTGAAAAACAGCAAAAATGGAGATACAAGGTTTTGTTCCAACAGCACTGATATATATTTACGGGATACCATAAGGTGTCGTAAGTGACAGAGAGAGTGCTGCTCTCTCTGCTGTTGACTAACAGTCTTTGTGCTTGGATGCTTTTGGGAAACTTATCTATTTGTGCTGCTCCAGGTGATCATTGATGAGCTGATCAAGAAGCTGGACGTTAATCTGAACGAGGACATCGGGAAGCTGACCCCTGAGGAGCTACGTCAGCGAGTGGACGCAGCCATCGCCCAGATCGTCAACCCTGTCAGGGTTAAAGAGCAGCTGGTGGAGCAGCTCAAAACTCAAATCAGGGATTTGGAGATGTTCATTAACTTCATACAGGGTGAGGAGCAGTGTGGAACGTGAAGAACGCACCCAGAAGGGCCAGACTAGAGGTCTACAATCACACAAAATTAGATACACACACACTGTTGGCAGCTTCAGTCTTCCCACGCTGTGTCCAGTTCAACCCACCTGCTGGGTCTCCACTGGCACACAGCGCTGGGAGGGTGAAGGCTGACGTTCTTTCTCCGAGACACATGAAGCTCCACAGATGCCTTTTCTTCAGGGTTTAATACTAAGATCACTTAAAGGGGAACTCCACCCAATTTTTCAAAAGTTGTATAAAAATAATTAACTGGTTAAGATGTAAACAGAGTCCTTCAGAGTGGTTTGGTGTGAAATGTTCTGTTCTAGAGAAACTTGCTGAGTCAGAATTGTTCACAATGGTGGTGATAGGAACCAGACGTCCACCTCTGAAAGCTCCTTCACTTAGTTATTACATAAAATGGTTATATATTTGCGGCCTGATGTTTGTCACATTGGCTTATGATAGTTTTGCGGAACAGTTTTGGCTTAAAATGTATTTAATACATTTTTTTAATCTGTTTTGGTAGATGCAGCACATTGTGAGGCAAAATAGTTCCCAAAGAAAACTTATTTTTTCAGATTTATGACTATTCACCATCATCAACATTATATATAAAACCTCAGAAGACTCGTGTAGGTTCACTGGTGGTTTTGGATAGTAAATAAAATGGCTATATTTGTGTTGTAATCATTGTGACCCCTGGTTCCTATCACCACCACTGTAAAGAAATCTGAGTCAGTAAGTTTCTCTACAATAAAGCATTTCATGTCAAACCACTCTGAATGACTCTGTTTACATCTCAAGGACTAAATTGTTCAGAAATTTTGAAAAATTGGTGGAGTTCCCCTTTAAGACAGAACTTGCAATAATAATCAGTAATAAATATTGATGGTTTTAGTGATTATTATAAGTGATAAGATTTTTTGGCCGTTGCTGAGTTTACTAATGTTGATCGTACTCCACACAGATGAGGTGGGGAACCCTCTTCTGTCAGAGGGAGAGAGCGGTCAGCAGGCTCGAGCGTCCGGGCCTAAACCTCGGAGCCAAGGTGGCATGAAGCAAGGTCAGTTTACCTACACAGCTCTGGTCTTCTTCAGCCCTGCATCTGGAGATGGTTCCCTAATCTGATAAGTCTGATGATAATTTTCCATAAACTGTTGTACCTCATTGTAAGCTTAAAACAGTACAGCTTATAGTGTGTTACATTAAATGAAATCAAATGGATCGTTTAGAGCTTTTGAATGTGCTCCTTCATGTTGTTGATGTCGGCTTATGCATTCACAGCTCTGCGTATTTCAGACGTGCCTCATGTTTCTAGTCCCCTGCCCCTTTTAATGGGTCTGAAGTTCCTAGTTCTACTCAAAAAAGCGTTTTAAAGTTTTGTCCATTACCATTGTAAGTCATTTTACTGTAAGGGCCTGGAACAGATTAAGCTTTGTCTAAAATCGTGGAATTTACCATTGAAGAGCATTTTTTGGCTTGAATTAAGCTCAATCTGGGTCTGCAAACTGACCCTAAAGGATCCTCACTTCAGTTCCTCCCTCTCACTGAAGGACTTGTACATTTGTTTCATAGCAGATACTGAATATTTCATAGTAGCTGCTGCATACTTTATAGTAGTTACTGAGTAATTCATTGTAATTAGTGAATAATTTGTAGTAGGCACTGAATAATTCATAGTGGCTACTGAACAATTCATAGTAGTCACTGAATTAGTCATTAGATAGTGAATAATTAATAGTAGTTCCTGAATAATTAATAGTCATTACTGAGTAATTTGTATTAAATACAAAATAATTCATAAAAGATACTGTAGATTTTGTAATAGTTAATGTATAATTCATAGTGGTAACTGAATTTATAGTTACTGAAGTACTTAATCATTGGACAAATTCATACTATAAAACGAATAGTTCTGGTCCTAAAATCTGATTGGCTGAGCCACGTTTGAAGCTGTTATAAAATCCACGATATACATACATATGACGCCTCACAGCAGCTGAATTATATATTTCTGCCAATCACAAAAACCCTGTGTTGTTAATCGAATAATCTTTGACTGTAATGCTGCTCGCATGGAGCACCGAGTGTACCGATGAAGTAAGAACCTGTTTTTTGTTTAAACTGAGGGGTGACTTATGTTCTTAAGTAGAACCGGACTGGTCAGCTAGCTAACAGGCTAAAAGAGCCAACAGCCCAAACAGCTCCATCATTAATATCACAGGCTTGAATTAAAGCACTTACAGTCTGATTTACTGTAAAACTGCAGAGTAAAAGTCTAAAAATGTCACTTGAATGTCTCACACGCTTCAAATGTCTGTGTTTCAGTCAGAAGTCGCATCAAACCCAGGCTGAATCCCAAACGGCTCCATACTCCCTAAATAGTGTTCTAGTTATGAAAGTTTAGAAATTCCAGCCTCTACAGCCAAACAGTGCATCATGTATCGAGTGTGGATGTGTCTGAGTCCCAAATGACTGTTGCTGTATTTTGCTCTGTTGGGCTGCAGGATCCAGTATTTAAACTCCTACGTAGTGCACAGATTATTGGTGCTAAATAAGACTTGCGGTAGTAATTTGGCAACCAGAAAGTAGTGTTTCTGCATTAAACAGTGCTGTGTTACTGTATGTTCGTTCTCATACAACAAAAAGTAAAAAAATAATGAAGTGACCGCAGTAAACAGTGATGGGCGACTAAATGCTCTCCTCATTTAGCCGTCCATGGGTGCTTGGCAATAATACCGTATTCTGAAGGAACTACATTTCTTGGCGGAATACTTGTTTAAGTCGGTTATTGTTAATAATAACTTGGCATTTTCTGAAAAATTGTGTGATTTATCATATTTTATGGTGGACGCCGTTTTATAAAAGCAATAAGCCACTTGAAGGCGTGCGTTATTGCGATTTTATCACAGGGAAGGGAGTTTATAGCACCTTTCCTGTTATAAAATCACAGTAATGCACAGCCTCTCATGGCTTGTTGCTTTAATAGATCTTACATAATTAGTAGTAGCTGCCAATTACTAAAATAAACGCTATTAACCGAATAGTAAACCTTAGCGTTAATAACTTAATAATGAGTAATTGGTCTGCAGTGCATTGGGTTAATTTCCAGAAGAGTTTCCATGGAAACTTTTGAATGTTTTTGCCTAAATTTCACGTCCTGTTTCTCTCTCTGCTCCTCCAGTTGACCCAGAACAGGCTCAGAGGCTGCGTGAGACGGGCCTGCAGCTGATCCAGAGGGCTCTGGCTGTGCTGCAGATTTTCGCCCTGAGCCAGTTCGGCTGCGCCGCCAGCCGCATGCCGCAGAGCGTGTGGTCCCAGGGGGACGGGGCTCAGGACTACGGCCCGTTACTGCAGAAGCTGGAGGGAGCGGTGGAGCGGGTGCGTCTGCAGGCGTCCCACAGGCAGCCGGCCGCTCTGGAGGAGCACGTGGTCAGTTATACGTCCGGTCTGACTCTGGGAGGCCCTGGAGACGAGCTTACGGCTTCGGTAAGGAAGGACCTGGCGGTGGCGCTGCGGGACCTTTTGGCCCACGGCCTTTACACTCCCTCGCAGGGCATGAGTCTGGTTCTGGCGCCCATCTCATGTTTGCTCCCGTTTAGCCCCTCCCCCCAAACGCTGCACCCCTGGGAGCTGTTTGTGAAGTACTATCACTCCAAAAACGGCCAGGCTTTCGTGGAATCTCCGGCACGCCAGCTCTCGCAGTCCTTCAGCCTGCCGCTAGGGGGCAGCAAGGTGACCGTCACGCCAAAACAGTCTTTGCTCTGGGCCATCCACAGCGTCCTGCGCGAACACGGGCGCTACAAGCGCAGCGCCGACTCCGAGTTCAAGGCTTTAGTGTGCATGGCGCTCAACGAGCAGAGGCTGGTGTCCTGGGTCAACCTGCTGTGCAAATCCGGCACTCTGGTCCACTCCCACTACCAGCCCTGGAGCTACATGGCCCAGACGGGCTTCGAGGGCGCGCTGAGGATCCTGGGACGCCTCAGCCACCTCAAGTTCAACCTGCCCGTGGACCTGGCCGTGCGCCAGCTCAAGAACATCAAGGACGCTTTCTGATCCCCAGTTGGCGTGAAGAGGACGCGGCGTTGAATGTAGCTTTGGAGTCTTGGCTTCTGAGCCAGGCAGGAAAATGCTGGAGAAGGAAGTTTATCTTCTGTCTGTTTAAATCTAAGTTAATATTTGTCGTACACTGAGTTCACTACTGTTGCACTACTGTCAATATTCCCTTCCTTGAAAAGCTTCTCCTTTTATTCTTCTCGGTCACCAGTTCAGTGATGAGTTCAGCTTCTTACTGTGTTTCATAAAAGGGTTTCAAAGCTGACCTGGCCATGCTCCACAGTATGTTTTTTCTCCCTAGCGACTGTTGCTAGGTTGGACAAGCTTTACACAAAGCTGGTGGAAATCCCATTCAACCTAATGAGAGAGTCAGTTCTTATCACTACATTTCATAGGTGGGTTTCGGAATCTACCATATTTGGCTCTATTAATATGCTAATCAATTTGAGTGCCATCTTTCCTGTCTGTATTTTGTATAAAGGAGAAGGGAAGGTTAAACACTGACTATGCTGCATTAATCAATACCTCAAGAGGTTTTTATTCTTAGCTATACGCTAACATTCCTCCCAAACACCCAACACTGGTTCCGCCACGTGTTACGAGTTCTACTAATGGCCTACTTTAAAAGCTGTTACCAAAACCAGCCATGCAGGTCTGCATGAGCATTTCAGACTTCATTTCTAGGAACATCATGTTTGCATGAATATCCTGACTCTGTAAATGTATCTAGAACGGAGTGTTCCACATCGAACGTGTGGAGATACACTGAAGCATTTTATTTAGTGCAGAGGTCGGCTCTTCTACGGCTCCACAGCACAATCAGATTTGTAGGTAAAAATAAAATAATCCTCCTTTACAGTAAAATAAAGCTCTGCTGATCGTTCAACACAGTTTAACAATAAATGGTCTTAAACTCTGGAGTTAATGTAGAACTGCTAATTCACCCTTTAACCCTGAAGATCAGCGCAGACTGCTGGTCACCATAGCAACACAGACAACAGTCTCACTCAGCTAGTATCTAATGAAAAGTCAAAGAGAAAGATTAAAGACGAACATCGATAATTTGGAGATGAACTGACTTATTTGTGTTTATAATCACTCCAGCTGGTTTCCTGATACGTTTAATCTGCAACGAGAAGCTGACAAACACTAAGAAGTCGCAAAGCTGAAACCAGCTTCTCGTTTGAATTTTTCCGTTCCACCTTAAATGGCGCAGCAGTGACGTTCAGGCCTCTCAGGCGCCATTTAAGGTGGAACGGGGAAATTTGAATGAGAAGCGACTTCAGCCTCGTAAACAGTTGAACGTTGAGGAACATTTTATAAGAAAATCTTCTACTTTTGAGGAAAAGTTTCCTGCTGGAGATGCGAGAAAAGTGGCTATAAAGCTTAAAGCAGAGCAAAGTAAGTCTGTGTTTTGATTTATATTATATTGGTAAAATGGACATAAAATGTTGTGGCACCCAGAAGATACTATTTGACTTTGTTGAAAGGACAAAATGGCTCTTTTTAAAATTTGGGTTGCCGACTCCTGCTTTAGTGGATACAGCTTTGCCTCCGTTCCTCAGAGCTCCATGGGCACCTGTGCTGTGTACTAACGTTTCAGACAGGCTGGATTATATCCCAGCCCACTGGGACCCCAACAAAGACTTACTTGTTTGCTGCTACTGAAGTGCTTTTATAGCTGTTTGGACTGAAGCTGTCATTGTAATTCGAGAGGATGTGTCTTTTGATGGTGGTGACGGTTTCCTGTCTGCTGATTAGGAGTGAAGAATGTGCTGTTTATGGAAGTCTCTGATGTTTTTGTCCTTGTTTGGAGGCCCTGCTGACTTTAAGGCTCTTTAAAGGGCCCATATTATTGCTTTTTTGACATGAAGAAGTTTGAAGTTATATGTAAACATTCATAAAGTTTTAATGTTCACTCTTAAAAAAAGGTGGTTTTTAAGGGTTCTTTAGTGAAGGAAATGTTCTATATAGAACCATGTACACTCAAAGAACCCTCCGCATGATTACAGGGTTCTTTGCATTATGAAAGTGTTCTTCAGATTGACGAGAATGTGCTGTGTATGGTTCTGTATATAACCTTTTTGGAAATGGGGGTTCTATACAGCACCAAAAAGGGTTCTACTATTATTACAATGTTAAGCCTGTAACAATAGAAGAACCCTTTTGGTGCTATATAGAAAATACAACATTCTACATCAATCTGAAGAACCATTTCCACGATGCCTGAAGAAGAACAATCTTTTTTAAGAGTGTATGGTTCTATATAGAACCTTTGTGCAGAGGGTTCTTCTATTGTTATGATCTCAAGTTTGTTACAAAAGAAACCTTTTTTTGGTGCTATATAGAACCATATTCAACACATTCTCTATCAGTCTTAAGCAAAGAACCCTTTAATCATGCAAAGGGTTCTTTCAGTGTTCTCAGTTCTATAAAGAACAATTTTCTTTACGAAAGAAACCCTTGAGGAACAATCTTTTTTAAGAGTGTATGGTTCTATATAGAACCTTTGTGAGAAGAGTTCATATAGCACAAAAAAGGGTTCTACTATTATTACGATGTCAGGCCTGTACCAATAGAAGAACCCTTTTGGTGCTATATGGAAACCTTTTCAAAAAGATTCTATATAGAACCATCTACAGCATATTCTCCATCAATCTGAAGAACCATTTCATGATTAAAAGAACCCTTTAATCATGCAAAGGGTTCTTTCAGTGTTCTTGGTTCTATAAAGAACCATTTCCTTTAGTGAAGAACCCTTGAAGAACGGTCTTTTTTAAGAGTGTATGGTTCTATATAGAACCTTTTTGAAAAGGGTTCTATATAGAACCATCTACAGCATGTTCTCCATCAATCTGAAGAACCATTTTACAATGCAAAGAATACCTTAATCATGCAAAGGGTTCTTTGAATGTTTACAGTTCTATATAGAACCATTTTCTCAACTGAATCCACTGTGTGAAGAGCCTTTTTGAAAAGGGTTCTATATAGCACCAAAAAGAGTTCATCCATTATTATGATGTCAAGCTTGTAACAATAGAAGAACCCTTTTTGGTGCTATATAACTTCTATATAGAACCATCTACGGCACATTCTCCATCAATCTGAAGAACCATTTCACAATGCAAATCATGCAAAGGGTTCCTTGAGTGTTCATGGTTCTACATAGAACCATTTTCTTAGCTGAAGAACCCAGGAAGAACCATCATTTTTAGGTGTGTACCATTATCCCCCAGTCCGTACCATCCATATATGGAAACTGAGCTATAAAAGCAGTTCCTGTGATGTCATTGGAAGCTCATTTGCATATATCCACCTATTCATCCCACAGTAGTTTAGCCCCACCCACTCATATTGAAGTTCTAAGGAGTGTTTCAGCTCTGAGCGCTTGTTGAAGGAGGCACAATACAGGGCAGCCAATCAGAACAGAGCTCATTTACATACACCAGTCTTAAAGGTACAGTAGCAAAAACACACTGTTTAATACTGAGCTTGAAAAATTGTCATGTGAAAATGAATGATGTCCACAAAACCACGCGATATTTACAGCAATGCAAGAAAGATGTAGAATATGGGTTTTTTAAATGGTTCTACGATCTTGAATGTACGGTTCACACTACTGTGCCCAACCTCTGTATTGTAACCAAGCATTTAGCGATTTAGCGTTTAGCATTTGTTTTTGTTTTCTCTTGTTTTATCTGATCTCTATAAATGTTTGTGCACTAGTTTAATATGAACCACTGGATGTTATGAGCGCATACTTTAAGTTAATCCCTGCAAGGTAGTTTGTTTATATTTATATCTCTTTTCCTATTTTTTTCCAGCATGAATTTGTTTATCTGCTTCCTTCACTTCTTAGTAACTGAAGTCAGACTTAATGAGGTCTAATATGGGGGTCAATATTATAGTATTTTAAGCTGCGTTCACGTTACAAGACTCATGGCTCAAATCAGATTTTTTGCTCAGATCCGATCTCTCTGACACGATGGTTCACACTCATTTAGGTATGTTACTCAAATCTGTCATTAATGTGACGAACCGGCGTCCTGAAATGACCCTCATGAGCTCATCCTACTCAGTAACGTCACGTGAATGAATCACGAGCATCATCAGCACAAACTAACGAGCAGAACGAGCTTCGCTGTGAAGATAATTAACTCTGATCAGCTCTCAGCTTTGTTATTAGAGCGAGACGAAGGAGAGAAAGATGAGATGTTTACAGGCTTTAACTTCTGTTCGGCGCTGTTGCCATGGTAACGCTGAATGATGGTCACGCGCAGTGGGAAAAAAAGCACATGAATTCCGATCTGAGCGTCACATTAAGGTCACATGGCCACGAATTGGATACGTATCCGATCTAGGACCACATATGAAAGTGGCTCAGGTCAGATTTGAAAAGATCAGATTTGTGTCCACACAGCTCTGAAAACACCAGATCTGAGTCACATTGGGGCAAAAAATCAGATTTGTGCCACTTCAGCCTGGTAATGTGAACGGAGCCTTTCAGTCCTTTTGCATTCCAGGCTGTCTTTATAGTTTCTCTTTTTTTCCTCACGTAATTAGCACTTTTTCTCGATTATAATTTCTCATTAGAGTCAAATATATCAGTGTTTTGTTTTTAGCGTCGTGCCACTGTTGTTTTCGTCATCCTGCATTTCCATAATGTCAGTTTCGTTTTGATTTAGATGCTGTTCAGTAGACTTTAAGTAGCAGTTAACTTTGTTTTAGGCCTTTGTTTTGCTCGCAAATGAACATTGTGTATGTGCTTCAATGATATTTGATTTAAATTTCTGTTTATTTAAAACAAAAATAATGAAGGGGCTGATGGGAAACCTTTCCACTTTTATTTAATTATCTTTTGTTGTGTTGTGTAGTGAATGGACCTTAATACATCTGAATAAACCTTCCAAGCAACTTGATAAATGTGATCTGAAGTGTTAATTCATGTTTTAAGGTATAGTCAATAAATGAATTTGAACACTTTCTCATTCAGCGTAAACAAACCAACATTAATTGCTTGAGCGAGGCTGAAGTCGGTTCTTATTCATAGACGTATAGATTGGCGTAATGTTTTGGGAAGTTCAGTGATGAGGATCAGGGAAAAATCCAGTCAAATCACGTTTCTTGTCACATCACATTTACACAGGTGTGAAGGTGAGTGAAAGTCTTAGGTGTGTAGCCCCCTTGTAGTACTTAAATACACAAAATTTATATATGAAAAATATATATACATACATTAGACTATGTATTAGAAGTTATACACAT